ATGCAACGCCCCTCCAATTACCTCCCACTCCATCGCCCCCACGCCCCATCCATCCCGCCCTGCAACCCACGCGCCTAACACACTCTGACGTCAGTCACTGCTAAAGCAGGGAGGGGGGTCCGGCTCTGTCGCCCACAGAGTACTTCCTATCCCCCCTCCCTCCCTCCCTCCCTCCTTCCCCGCCTCCTCATGTCTTTGCTGGCTTCCTTCTCCTTTGCTTAATCTCTTCAGCTGACGATCACAGCCCAGAACAACTAACTCTCCCCAAACCACTTACTTTTTGCCCGTGATGCATCACAAAACTAACAAGGTATCAAAGAACTGCAACGTTCTCTCCCCCTTTTTTTCTGTCTCCCTCCCTCCTTTGCCCTCCTTCTCACACTACCCCTCTCCACCGCCTTCTGTTTCCCCTTTCTAACTTCTCTCCTTTCTAATCTGCACTCTGACGGAGTTCAGCTGCAAGCAGAAGGAGGCGTCGCCTCAGAGAGATTGTGACTCACAGGGGTTCAAACTGTAGGGCTACGAAGTACTGATTGTTACTGGAGGTTAGGGAGTCACTATCACGCTTTTCAGCTCCAGCATCGACTTATTGCCATTTGAAAAGGATAGTTCAAAATTTTTAAAGGAAGGTTTCCTCATGAAGTCATGAGCAATCATTTTCTTACCTGCAGTAGATAACATCCTCATTTGCATTAAATTCACATTAGTTGAACCTGCAGAGGGAGGCCAACAGCTCATCTAAGAGGTTCCAAGACCAAAGCAGAACGTGATTAATGGGTAACTTCCATGAATTTTAAAAGCTGCCGTGCTCATATTTACAGAAAATGTTATTTTTAGAAAGGATTTGAAGATATGGGATGCTGTAGGGATTATGGTTGGTCTGTGTTTAACACACTGAAAGCTAATCATATAAAGCAGTTCCAAACAGAGGAGAAAAACATTATAATGGTGCTTTCATTTTGTATTAAGAGTCCGAGTCAAACCAGAGGATTTTGCTAATTCTTTTAGTGCTAACCACTGTTAGCATTACAAATTCATTTTAGTTCTGTGCTTTAACATTTAAGGTTTATTTTCACAAAGAGATGTCATCAGAACTATGTACGTATAGCACTGGGAGATTAATCTATTCAATTGATTAATCTTTTTTCTAATTTAGTAATAAAAGTTAAAGTTTTTTCAATTTTGGTTCCATCCATGCACTCTTTGCGCTTCCAAAGCTCGGAGAAGGGGTGTAAGAACAAAATAGATTCTACTAAATACGTAATGAGACCTGTAAGCATTTAATCAAAATATGTCCAAATGAATCTTAAATGTAAAAAATATTTATAGGCAAACACCCATGTCATTGTTTTACTTTTTTGTAACACTTAAACCTCCAGCCACTAGTTGGCAGCGCGCAATTAAAAAACTTTAAATATATCACCTTTGTTAATACATCAGGATCTATTGGATAAATCGTATCGTGACACATGTATCATGATATGTATGGTATTCCCGAATTATTGTCAATTTAGGGAGCGGCATGCACAGTGAGATATTTTCAATCATTGTACTCGGCTGCAGCTCAAACTATACAATGTAACCGCAGGGTTTAAAGGTTCACATCTCACGATTTTTGGTCTTAGACTGTGCAGCCCGATGCTCTGATGCGATCTACCTGCTCAAACTGTACATCTATAAGCCACACGTCGAACTCAGCGCTGAGAGATGGCACCGGTCGGACTTGTCCGCCTGGAAGAAGAAGAACTCCCTTTTTTGCACATGCGCCAAGCATGAGGTCCTGGAAAATCAACACGTAGCTCTGCTTCAACAGCAGGATTCGTCCATGAACACCTCATGATGGCCAAACATGTTTGATTTTTTTCTCGACCTTACGATTCCTGATCGGGATGTGATTGTGAGAGGCTAACCGTCCCTTGTTACCCCCTGTATAAAGATAGTTTATATCAACACATTTTACTGAGTTTTATATCCACAGCTGTCACACTGAGGTGAGTTAAAAACTCTGACTTATGTGCATGTGTTAGTCTTGTTTCCCACAAAATATTTCAAACGATCTTGTTTGAGTAAAGAAAAAACAATCCACATATATACAAACATGAGGAGGAATATGGGATTTAATTGACACTTTTTGTTTTAATGTGCTCCTAGTTTAAATAGGGCTTGCATATCAGGATAAAATATGTGGATTTAAAAGGCTTATTTATAGAGTACATTACTTACTGCCACAATGGCCCAATCTAATTTTATCTTGCATACCATCAACACTGAGAAGAAACTTTCCCCTCTGTTTTACAGCCCATTAGATGTAAATTTATTAGAAAATATTAAAGGCCAATGGTTTTGTTTTCCTTTTCAATCAAGATTTGTTAAAATGGCACAGCGTGGCATAAGATCAAGATCAACTGTATTATATGTTGGTTTAGGGTTGCAAACTCCGTGAAATTACATGAATTTCACAGCAAATTTTAAAAGGTCCTACAAACTCAAAAATTAGAATAGCAAACACACACAAGAACAATACACAAACACCACAAAGAAACACCACAAAGGGAAAGATGCTGCAAATAGCAATAAGACTGCAAGTTTAAAAAAAACTGCAATTAGTGAAAATAAAAGAGTGTGAAAGTTTGAACATAGTGCAAAAACAAAACCAGCTGCAAATACATAAAGGATGCTAACACAAACACAAAATCCACATGCAAAAGAAAAATAATACAAGTTAAGAAAAGCTCCAAACTATTGCTGCTTGATAGAAGTCCCTCAGACCACTAGGGGGAGGCTACCGTTAATGTGTGACCAGACCTTTAGTAAAAGCATGAACAAGATCCTAATGGGGATAAAGACTGTGTCGGATCGTCCGCCCTAACCCCTAATCCCTCAATCACTTTATAGAGCAGGGACTATATTAGTGGACTTTATAGTGAACTCAGTTAACTGTCCGTTTGGACATATTATTACTACTTTTCGCTCCCCGTTGGTCACGTAACTGTCTCCCTGCACTGTGCTTCCACCATCTTTGTTATTTGTTGGCCGCTGTTACTATTAATCCTATAGGAGAACGTAGCATTAGGCATAGCGGAATATATTTGTTCTTCTATTGACCATGGATGATCATCACTTTTCAAAGTGCATTGTGGGAAATTTCGAGTCCCCCTCTATTTCATACACTACACGTCGCACTATATAGTGCCCTATATGGTTATTAGGGTGGACATTGCGGACACAGCCTCAGTTAAATGAGCATTTGGACAGATGATCACTTCTTTCTGCTCCCTGTTGGTTACGTGACTCTGGCTCCCTGCACGGTGCCTGCGCCATCTTTGGTCCTTCTCGCCCTCCAAACAAATCCCATGATGCTTTGTGAGAAGAGCTCTTGCAAAGTATTCTGGGATATATCTGCTCATCTAGTGACCACGGACAATCACTACTTTTCAAGGTTCATTGTGGGAAATTTTGTGTCCACTACTTTTTCATCCACTAGACATTCGGACACTCATATAAAATGGAGTAACCCCTATATAGTGATCTATATGAGTTAGGGCAGATTTTCGGAAACGGGCAAAGTTATAAAAAGAGATTCAAAGGAAAACTTATCATTGCTTTCTTTCCTCTAGACTTTGTCTAGATTGTATTCTATTTATGTTATTTCTAAGGGATTAATGTCAGCTTTTTGCCTCCATATGAGTAAACGATCGTCTCCCTCTAGTGGTCTGGAGCACTTTCATTATGTGGTGCCAGTTTGCAACATTTTTTAGACCAGAAGTATGTTTTTGTTGGAAGATAACTGGCAATACTTTGCTTTATAATTAATGATCAGCGGCTTCTTTGTAAATGATAACCGAATAAGGGCTGCTTAAGTGTTCGGAAAAATCAATTAATAGCATAAACTACTGTGACCTTTTTTTAAAATCTTATTTTAATAAAAGGAAAAAATATATATAAAGACCTCTTAACCCACCAGGAACCGATTTAATGCGTAATTAAATAAAAGATTTCTGAAGTTGAGAGGACCGGAGCAACCAGCAGAGCTCCGAGGCTAACGGCAGCCGAGGCTAACGGCAGCCAGGGCTAACGTTAGCCCGTGTGCAGCAGCCCTCTCTCGGCATAGTCGTGTGTGAAGAACTGCTGGCTCTGATGGCGATATTTTTTGTTTTATTTGGCAAAATGTTCATTTGATTTGTGTTTATCTGACTGTGTTCATTATTATTCCCCCACTAAATGAAAAAAGGATTCATTTATTATTATCTAGAAGGTATTGATAACAGGAAGTGAAATGCAGCTCTAGACGAGCCGGGAATGTGGTGTCACGAGTACGCTTCTTTTCCAATTGACCCAGATCTATGCTGCGTGCTCGCGCTCTCACCAAGTCCAGACTCTCCTGTGTTCTTGCCAAGACCGGACTTCACGAGGACACGAGTACGGACTCGCGATCTCGTGAATTGAGAAACGGCTACAGACGTCCATCCCCGTGAACACTGGCACAGAACTCGATGGGAAAGGAAATTATTCTTATTTCTTATTTCAACCGTTGTGTATATAATTTGCTACATATGAATCAAGATGCTATGACCGAAAAAAATTTGATTGACTGTTCAGGCTAACGTATGACTTACAGGCCTGCAGAAGATAACGAACAAAAAAAACACAGATTTTAAGACAGGATTTTTTTTCAAAATAGAAATCTTCTAAATTTTGGGACAATATCTTCTTATTAAGAGTACATTTATATACATGTTTAAGCCAGAATGATTTGACATTTAAATATGATTTCCTTACGACTTTAAGTATTTCTCACCTACAAATTAGTAGAATTTTTTGTGAATCACATCCATCTATGTGATGCATGAATATAGGAAAACCTGAAGGCTTATTGTAGTTAGCAGGAACCCAACATTCCCAAAGTTTTTCTTTTGCCTTCTTTGGAATCTTTGCAAGTTTTTTTATTTGAATCTATTTTGAAGCACACAGTGCAGGTATGGGAGGCTCTGAAAAGTCACCTGCTGTGTGAGTTCCCTCTGGTCCCAGGCTGAGCTTCCCCGCCCGATCATGTGACACCATCCGAGCCAATCGCAGGCCTTCGTCCATTAGAGTCTGCTGTATTAGGTGGCGGCTCCAGCTGGCAGGGTTCCAGGCGTCACCGTGGGGACGGGGTGATGGAGACTGGTTGCACTGGGAGCTGGAGTCTAAACAGAGCAAACAGAGCTGAGTTCACTCTGTTTCTTTTAAGAAATATATATATATTTTATTTCTAATAATATATAAATGTGACGCGCTACCATGTGATACGCAATCAACGCTTTCTGCAGACAAGCTGTCTTCATCTGCTCTCTGAGTCGCTCCTTCAAATCCCTCCACTCCGAGAAGCGATGACTCAGACACAATGACCTTAAACACAAAATACAAGGCTGCTCATGAAACACTTCAAACCACCAGAACAAATGAGCTCTAATAATAAGTGGAAA